CTAACCCATGGCTAACCCATGACTAATCTGTGGCTAACCCATGGCTAACCCATGGCTAATCTGTGGCTAACCCATGGCTAACCCATGACTAATCTGTGGCTAACCCATGGCTAACCCATGGCTAATCTGTGGCTAACCCATGGCTAACCCATGACTAATCTGTGGCTAACCCATGGCTAACCCATGGCTAATCTGTGTCTAACCCATGGCTAAGTGGACAATGTTCCTCCTAACATGCACACATGTTTAAGTATTCTGAAAAACCTCAGAAGGTTCTTCCAGATGGACCTTGTTGGTTTTGGTTCCTGCAGGATGTGGTTGACCTGAGGCCACCAGAATAACCCCCCTCCTTTGTCTCTCCTTCCCTCAGCACGCTCCGGGGTCCAGTACATACCAACCTCTGGCTCCTGCAGGAACCGCTGCTTTGAGCTGCTGGAGGCGGAGCCCCCAAACTGTCGCTGTGACAACCTGTGCAGGACATACAACAGCTGCTGCTCCGACTTCAGCACCCTCTGCCTGCGGACAGGTACTGTATCTGAACATGGCAGCCCGACCCCACTCCTGGGTCCTAGTGTCCGTTAGGATGCTCTAACAGCTGCTAGAGGTTGTCTCTCTATGGATCAACAGAAAGAAGAGTCGAAGGCTGGGATTTGAACCTAAAACCCTCTGGCTGCATGACTTTAAACTGACTGGGAAACAGACTGGGAGGGTGGGCTCACTGAAACCATTAAAACCAGTTAGCGTCCGGGAACTAGTTTCTTCTGCAGCTATTTAAAAACTGGAGGATCATTAGTGATGGTTCAGATCTTTGACCCGACTTAAACATCCGACCCGCTTCTGATGGTCTGTAGACGGAGGAAAACCAGTCTGCTGCACCAGCCCTCTAGCTGAGCTGAAACTGGTTTCCATCTCTGCTGTGTCTCCCCCCACTCCCAGTCTGGTGGTCTCTCTCTCTCTCCCAGTCTGGTGGTCTCTCTCTCTCTCTCAGCCTGGTGGTCTCTCTCTCTCTCAGCCTGGTGGTCTTTGGCTCACCACTAGTTTGGCTGCTATTGTTCTACATTATGTCATTTCCCTTCAGATCGAAGCTCTGCTTAAAGGGAGCCTCTTTAAACCCCATAGACCCTGAGCCAGACCCCTGCCATCCGCTCTAATCTGTCAGATTTCAGAGAGCTCAGAGGTGACATGTTGTGGTTTTCTGTTCCTCCTCGATGCAGAGGGTGGCTATGAGTGCAGCAAGGATCGATGTGGCGAGACCCGAAACGAGCAGCACGCCTGCCACTGCTCCGATGACTGCCTTGCCAGAGGAGACTGCTGCACCAACTACAAGAAACTCTGCAGAGGTTTGTATCTTCCAACGTCTCCTTTCTGTGCGCCGACCCCCCAACAGCTTCCTGCTGGTTTCATTAACGTCTGTTTGCTGTAGAAAGAAATGAAAACTTTAGTGACTAAACACTCACCCAAACCCTCAGTAGAAACAGCCCCATCTAGTGGCCACAAGTCTCAGGTAGGTTGGTCTTTACAATGAGACTAGTAGGAGGTGTCAAAGGATGACAGGTTTCCATTTTGCAGGAATCACATGACCTGGCGGGGGATGGCGGCTGGACCAGCAGAGGATGATGGCTGCTCTGATTACGCAGAGTCCAATCAGGTCATCTAAACTCCAGGCTTAGCGATAACTAAAGGCAGGAGGTTTTAATGAGCCACTGTGCTTGTTATGACAGTCTGACTGTAGGCTGGTGGTGCTAACAGGTTCAATGAGCGAGTGGAGGAAGTCCTCTGGGCAGGTGAAGCTGGTTCTTCACTGTTCATTGGTTCCATCTATGTTCAACAGTTTGGTTTGTGATGTTAAGTAGACCGTAGAGACTGAACTTCTGAACTTTTTTAACATGTGGCTCATTTTAATGGAACTGGCTGACAGGAAAGGGGGGATGAGTGGAGAAACATGCAGGTTGGATTGGAACCCGGGTCTGTAGGTCTTCGTACATGGGTCGTGTGTGCTAACCACTGCACTACCGAAGCACCACTCCTTCAGCAGCTCCAGGCTTTGTTCCTTTTTTGCAGGTTGAGCAAAGATGGCCGCCTTCTGCTTGGTGTTTGACAGACAGTGGTTGGGAAAGTTCTCGGCTCCTGTGTAGAACCACCACTGGTGATCAAGATTTAGATCATGAACATGTTTTTCCCACCTTCATTTCCCTTCAGGAGAAACTCCATGGCTGCAGGATGACTGTGAGGAAATCAAGGCCCCTGAGTGTCCTGCCGGGTATGTTTTAATCTCTGACGTGTCAAACATGAAGTCAGATTAAAGGTGTCTGATGACGTTCACTGCGTGTGCAGGTTTGTGCGTCCACCGCTCATCATCCTATCGGTGGATGGCTTTAGAGCTTCCTACGTGAAGAGAGGGAACGCTGTCATGCCCAACATTGAAAAACTCCGTAAGCTTTTTTTATTCTCTTTATTCTGTATCTTCTAAATTAAACAAAGCGCAAAGACACAAATGCATGAAGCCAGCATGACCCCCTCCCTCTGAGCTGAACGAGTCCTCCTGAATGAATCCGCAAGTCCAAGTCCAGACCTTAAGGTCTTCTTCAGGTCCCTGTGGGAATCTCAAGAATGAAGTAAATGCTTGAAATATCCCAAACCTTTTCCCTTAGAGCTCCACGGAGAGAACAGACCTGACACTACCACTAACCCCGCCCACCCCACACACACTACCACCTATTTGTACCATTTGTTCCAGAGTAATTAACATTCTGATAAAACATTGAACCATGTTCCCATCCTTCCTCCAGCTTCCTGTTGGGTTTTTAGCCCGACCCAAAGCTGATAGTTTGAGGGACCTTCAGACAGAACTGGATTCGCTCCGTTATTCTTAATGTCTGATGGTTTATTGCTCTGGAAGGCCAAGTGAAATAATGTGTCATTGTTTAGGAACCTGTGGGACCCATGCCCCCTACATGAGGCCTGTTTATCCCACTAAAACCTTCCCCAACCTCTACTCAATAGCAACTGTAAGTATGGATTCACTTTGTCTCTAGTCTATTGATCTATAGTTTCCATGGTGATATAAAACAGAGTGAGCATGACTCACCGATATTCCAGGGTCTGTATCCAGAGTCTCATGGCATCGTTGGGAACTCCATGTATGATCCAATATTTGATGCAACATTTAACCTGAGGAGCAAAGAGAAACTGAACCATCGCTGGTGGGGAGGACAGCCGGTAAGTCTCTGCAGAGCTGCAATGGTTTTCTTTAGTTCCACTAACACTTCAAAAATAAAATAAGGTCCATGAAGACAGAGTTTTTGATCCTAGATGGTACCCAGTGGTCGCTATGGAAACCCTTTACTGGGCTGTGCTCTGTTCTGCTAACTGGACCTGATACTAAAATCAGAGAGGAACAGTATGGCTGTCTCCGAACGTCCGCCCCCAACCCCTAGATCCCTCCGTCGCTATATAGAGCGTGGTCCGCCCTAACCCCTAGATCCCTCCATAGCTATATAGAGCGGGGTCCGCCCCAACCCCTAGATCCCTCCGTCGCTATATAGAGCGGGATCCGCCCCAACCCCTAGATCCCTCCATAGCTATATGGAGCGGGGTCCGCTCTAACCCCTAGATCCCTCCATCACTATATGGAGCGGGGTCCGCTCTAACCCCTAGATCCCTCCGTCGCTATATAGAGCGTGGTCCGCCCCAACCCTTAGATCCCTCCATAGCTATATAGAGCGGGGTCCGCCCCAACCCCTAGATCCCTCCATAGCTATATAGAGCGGTGTCCGCCCCAACCCCTAGATCCCTCCATAGCTATATAGAGCGGGGTCCGCTCTAAACCCC